AAAAAAATATTAAAACACTGTGAACCAAGAGGGAAATCTAAGGAGCAGAAACCCAGTCAATATTTTGTTTATAATATAGAAAAAAAATATTAAAACACTGTGAACCAAGAGGGAAATCTAAGGAGCAGAAACCCAGTCAATATTTTGTTTATAATATAGAAAAAAATATTAAAACACTGTGAACCAAGAGGGAAATCTGAGGAGCAGAAACCCAGTCAATATTTTGTTTATAATATAGAAAAATATTTACATGTACATTTGTAACACAAATACATGTCATTACAATACTAAATATATATAACTTACAAGTGCAAATTCGCTGACAAGAAATCTACTTTGAGACTAATAATGCTTGAAGATGGCTTGAATGGGTAATGAAGAAAAACTTATATTCAAGTTTTTCTTCATTACCCATTCAAGCCATCTCCAAGCATTATTAACTTACAAGTGGTTTTAAGGATAATTAATACAAGTCCTAAAGTTAAGCTTTCAGTATTTTTTGTGCTGCATATACACACACAAATCTTCAACAGGAATGAATGATACACTCTCAGAATTGCATACTTTATACACTCATTATTGGAGAAGTTTGAACTAAAATATAGCATCAAGTCTCAATATGTGCCTCAATAATGCACATTTTTTAAACATACACATGCAATCATACGAGTTATATGTAGATATTTCTACACAATATGAATGTAGGTATTTTTGATAAAAAACAAATTAAAAAAGATCTAAGGCAGTTGTGTACAAAATCTGAAATATAAAACTGTAAAAAGCTTAATCTTAAACAGTGCCCCACAAACCCGAGGTTGATATGCTTTTGCGAAATTGCAAAATGTGTATGATGTCACATAATAGTAAACTAACAGTTTCACAATTTCTGAACTCAATTCACACAAAACTTTTAAAGTCTTTACACTTACGGAAATTAATAAGAGTTTGAAGACAGCTTGAATGAGTAATGAAAAAAAAATTATTATAAATGTACAATGTTTCAACAGATACTAATGGACAAATAAGGGAGCATAACAGAAAGTAATAAGAGTTCAAAGGGGGGAGATATGTTAACTATTATTATTATTTATGAAAAGTTAACAATGATCCAAATATATTGTCAAATGTTATATTTGGATCACTGTTAACTTTTCATAAATAATAATAATAATAGTTAACAATGATCCAAATATATTGTCAAATGTTAT